TCCTTCTCCTCTTCCTCCTCCTCCTCCTCTTCCACCTCCTCCTTTTTTTTTAGACAGGGTCTTGCTATGCAGTTCTGGCTGACCTCAAACTCACAGTGTTCCTCCTGCCTCAGCCTCCCAAGTGCTGGGATTATAGGTATGTCCACCAAGCCTAGCCAGAATAAGCACTTTTTATCCCTTAAACCTCATTTCCTTATACCAATCCATCAACTACCATTGTCTTTTGCACCTATCACCATTAAAGACTAGGGATACAGGCCAGGTATGGTGATGTACACCTGTAATTCCAGCACTCAGAAGACCAAGGCAAGAGGATCACTGCAAGATTGAGGCCAGCTTGGCCTCAAAATGTGTTTGAGGCATCCTAGACTTCATAGTGAAACCCTGTCTCAAAAAAAAAAAAAAAAAGATTTAGTGTTCAGACACTGAAATATAGCAATGTAAAGAAGAAAGAAAAGGAGGAGGGAAAGGGGTCCCTGGCACCCAGCAAGGATCTGAAGCAAGAACTGAAGCCCATAAGGACAGCAAAGAAACAGTCTTCAACAAAGAAGAAAGGTGGCAAGTGCTTTCTCCCTAAGCCCTGCCTCACTGTGTGATAGAGGCAGCTCGAACTTGCAGACACACAGTGACGACTCCAGCGGTCTCCACAGAGAGGAACACCAGTGTAACAGCAGTGGACACAGTAGGGTCCTGTGGCTGGTGAGTTGCTCAGGTTCAGACTCCCTCAGGAGAGGGTGACAGGCTAGGAGCCATCTTGGCCAGAGACCAACTGAGCTCAGAACCCAGAGAAGCTGTGGGCTGACTCCATCTGTGAGCAATGAGCTCCCAGTGCCAGGGTGAGGTGGAAGTGAGTTCCAGTGGGCAGGTCAGGAGCTGAGTTCAAGCCAACAGGAGGCACACAGAGTGTTGCAAGCTGAACGGACAGAGCGCCTGCCTTAGGGCCAGAAACCAATGTGAACTTCAGTGGAACTAAAGGTGCAGACTTGCTTGTCTCTTCCTGGCCAGTCTCCTTCACCAGTTTCCCAACACTTTCAGAATCTTCCTTTGTCCTCCAGCCTTGCTTCTAATCTCTTCCTCTTCTGTTCTCTATTTTTCCCCCAAGCCCTTTTAAATTTTCTCCCCTAAGGCTAAAGTCACCATACTGAGGGTATATTTACTGTATACAATTTCTAGTTTATTTTAGATTTTGTTATGTGACTGCAAATCTAGTTCATATAGTTAAAGGTGACAAATTAATAGTTACCACAGTTTGTCATTTTCTAGGCTCAGTTTGATACCATTGTTATTGCTATACTACTTTACCTCAGGTGACATAATTGCTCTAATCAGTTGTTCTTCCTGGTAAGCCAAGACTGAGATTACCTACAGGTCCCGTAGGCCAGGGCCAAAGAACCAGGGACTTGCCAAACAGACAGCAACTTATCCCCAAAGAAAAGCCAGCTACACCCAGATGACACCTCTGAGAGGTCATCTCATAGGAGTTCCAACTATTAGCAACAAAGCCACTCACCTAGAACAGTTTACAAACATCAACCCAGGAATTAAACTTCAAAAACAAAAGGCTAGGCATAGTGGCACACTTCTGTAATCCCAGCACTCAGAAGGCTGCGGCAGGAGAATCATTGCAAGTTCCAGAGCAGCCTGAGCTACAAAGTGAGCTCAAGGCCAGCCTGAACTGTGTAGTGAAACCCTACCTCAAAATGACAGAGAGAGAAGGAGAGAGAGAGAGAGAGAGAGAGAGAGAGAGAGAGAGAGAGAGAGAGTTCCAGTCTACAAAAAGCAAGCCAGCAGGTAATGAGATAGAACAATTAAAAACCACCCACCTGGCCTCTGGAAAGTAACAGCAGAAGTAACAAAGCAGATGAATGAAGCTGTAGGAAAAAATCAAGTATAAAATTTCTCAGATAACTACAGAAATGGTGACCATAATGAAAGACATGGTTAGTTATTCTAGAGCAAATGCACATTAAAAAAAAAAAAAAAAGAGGGAAGAGAGAGAGAAGCTTAAAATGATGGAAACCTTAAATGCCCCACATAGGAAAAAAGAAAAAAAAAGGAATCCATGAAATAGATTCAAACGGACAACCAGAAGATTAAAAATTCCACTGAAGCTGGGTGTGGTGGTGCATGCCTGTAATCCCAGGGCTCAGGAGGCCAAGGCAGGAAGATTGCTGTGAGTTCAGGAGCAGACTGAGTTACAAAGTGAGCTCAAGGCCAGCCCAAACTACAGAGCAAGATTTTGCCTCAAAAGGAAAAAGAAAAAAAAAAAAATCAAATAAAGTGTTTAAAATAAATAATTCCACTGAAAGTATGCACGGCTGAGTGAACCAATGTGGGGAGAGACTATCAGATATAGAAACAAGATTGCGGTTAGCAATTGAAAGCTAGACCCAGAGATCTCGGCTCAACAGGAAGCCACTCCCTTCACCAGTGACTCTTGGCTGGCAGCGATGAACAGCTGCAGCTGCCGCCAGTGGCATGGATGCCAAGCTGCTGTTTCTTAGTCACCAGCGCCCGGCAGGGAAGACACCCCAAGCTCTTCTGATAGGGTCCCCTCTGTGATCAACACAAACAGATGTCCTTTCTTTTGAGAACAGAGGAAGGTTTAGCTGAACCAAAGCAGGGTGTAACCAGGAGGCACTAACTGTCGGGCCACCTCCCTCAGTGCAGGCCAGGCTGAGAGCTGAGACCTTTCTGGCTGACTGTGTTCGAGTCGCTTAGTGCGGGACACAGCACACTATTAATGCTTGTCAATCATCTGCTGAACGCATGACTAATAGAATACATGCAGGAATGAATGCTTTAGCTTCCTACTGAGAATCCTTCTTCAGCTGTGTGCATCTACAGGCTCTACCAGCCACTTAGACACCTCACTCCCTGGCCAGAGTCCATTGGTCCTGGAGTGGACACCTGACCCAAGCCAGGCCAAGGAAAGTCCTTCCCTAGGAATTTTGAAAAACAAGAACTCAGGAAAGCAGTTTCTCTCCTGCTATGAGACAAGCGATGTAGATGCGCTGGGCTGCTGTGTGTGTTCCTCTGTCTGGCGCACACGGTGAGAGAGTGCACGGATAAAGAGGCAAGCAGAGACAAGAAGGGGCCTTTAGGCTTCCAGCCTCTCATCCCCGAAATTCCTACGCCCATTCACATCCTCCTCCTCCTCCTCCTAAAGCTTGGTTGCCCAACACTTCCTTTTGTTAAACAAGGCCCCTCAGCATCTTTACAATAAGTCCCCTTTTCTTGGTTTAGAAATATTAGGATTAGAGCCAGCCAGATAGCTCAGCAGATTAAACTGCCTGCTTAGGCAGGGACCAGGGTTGGATCCCCAGTCTGCCGTGCCAGCCCTGCCCCCACAGTGCACTGAGATGGTAACTGAGACTGGGCATGGTGGTGCACACCTATAATCCCAGAGCTTGGCAGGCTGAAAATCAGGAAGAATCACTACAAGTCCGATCTGTGTAGTGAGACCCTTAGACCCTGTACTAAATACATTTAAAGAAAAGAAAAGAAATATTAGGGGGCCAGGGAGATGGCTCAGTGGAATAAGTGCTTCCCTGGCAAGCGCAAGGGCCTGAGTTCAATCCCCAGTTCTGCCAAAAGGACCTGACTTTGATTCCCTGGTACCGCATGCAGTGCCAACCCCCAAACCGGGGATGGTGGCACACACCTGTAATCCCAGCACTGAGGAGGCTGAGACAGGAGGATCACTATGAGTCTGAACTGCATAGTGAGACCCTATATCCAATAATAATAATAATAATAGCAA